CCATCCGAGATGATATGGTGCATCACAATAGACAGAATATGGTCATCCTCCCCCAGCCGCAGCACGCACACCCTCATCCCCGGCTCAGCGGCTAGATTGAACATGGTCTTCTGTTCCCGATGTAAGGCCTGGACGTAGCTGCCATCTTTCTCGGCTGCCAGATCGATAATTCTGAGGCCCTCAAAGAAGTGCGAGTGTACAATTTGTATGCTCACTCCATCCCTCTCCTCGAAGGTCGTACGGAGGGTCTCATGTCGCTGCTCCAGTGCATGAACCGCAGCGGTGAGGGCATCAATCTCGAGCGGCCCCTTTAGTCTTGTCGCGAGCGGCATCACGTACCAAGAAGACCCGAGCGCTAACTGCTCTAAGAACCATAGGCGGCCCTGGGCATATGACAGATCCACAGGTCCGCTATACTCCATCTGCGGGATCGGACGGTGTACTTCGGATCCCTGGGATACTGTGGCGGCAAGTTCGGTAATGACGGGGTAGTCGAAAACGTCTTTAACAGACATACGAACGTCCAGTCGGCGGCTGATGCGTGTCGCTAGCTTCGTCGCCATCAAGGAGTGCCCACCAAGATGGAAGAAGTTGTCAGTGACCCCGACTTCCACGCCCAGCACGTTCGCAAATTCCTCGCACAACGCGGCTTCTAGGTCGTTTCGCGGGGCCACGTGGACCGAGGTGGGGTTGCTCCTGGGTATGACCTGTGCCATATTCGCAAGTGCCTTGCGGTCAACCTTTCCACTGGGATTGACAGGCAGTCGATCAAGCACCACAATCCGGGTCGGCACCATGTATGAGGGTAGCATGGCCCGTAGTGCAGCGCGGATACCTCCCTCAAGCAGTCGACTCTGTAGCCGTTGTAGCGGGCGATTCATGAGCGAATCCACCAAGAGGCCCTGATCCTCTGTCGGAAATTGAATTAGCACACGGCCTCCTTTATCTGGTTGCTGGAAGCGGTGGAAGACAGCATCTAGTGCCCCATTTTGCGACCGCTGTCGTGCCCAGCTGATCTCCACGCGGAATCCTGCCTCCTCTCCGACCTGGACAAGCTCGGTTGCTGACAGTGAGCGCCCGTATTGTGTCTTGCGCCGGATATCTGAGATCCACGTGGTTCCGTCCTGTGAACCTACGCTGTCGTTGAGATTAGCGCGGGCACCGGTGTCAGAGTCGGTGTTGTCATTGTTGTAATCATCAAGGAACTGGATTACATGTTGCTCTAGGGCCGTCTTTCGATACGGGATATTGCTGATAGCGACCGCTAGCACATCTTTTGAGCTGTGTAGCAGGTCAATCAGGGCATGGCGATCCATCTGGGAGATGTTGAAGTCAATCCAAGCGTCAGAGGCGATCGAATGCACGGGTAGCGTCTGCTCCTCGGACTGCTCTGATAGATCAAATAGGTGGACAACAGCCGCATACCGGTATGAGCTCAGCTCGTTCGTAGCCCTCATCTTCTTCGGTAGAATCTCAACATGTTTGACCCGGTCCGGTAGCCGCTTCATTAACCCGGTGAAGAAAGCCGGATCAACCAGCAGCTCCTCCTCCTGCTCTCCTATTTCTGACATCTTGCGTCGGACCTCATCCCTTGTTGCCTGCTCCCCAAGTATACGGATTGCTCTCGATGCAAGGAAGGTTCTGTTGAGGGCGAATGATCGTATATCTCCAAAGAAGAGACGTTGTACACCCGGCAGCTGAGTAAGGGCCTCCACCACTTCAACTAAGTACTCTGGGGTAGGGAAGTACTGGGCCACAGAGTTAATCACAACCAGGTTAGGGTGGAGCCCATCAAGTGTGCCAACATCTGTTGCCGTACCAACATGTACTTCAACCTTGCCGGCTAGGGTAGGGGTCGACTGAACCACGTCACTAACGAATGCAGCGGCTGACCGCGATGGCTCGAGGCCAACATAGCTTTTTAGTCCTTGTCCAAGGTTGAACAGAACCATGCCAGACCCAGTGCCTATCTCCAAGACGTGGCCCGGTTCCTGGCCATCGAGCACAGTCTGTATAGTGTCGTCAAGCCACTCCTGCATCTCAACCTTGTTGATCTCCTTCCCGTCGTACATCGATGTCCAGCCCATGAAGTCATTGCCCACGCGGGTTTTGCTGATGGTCGCAATATCTTCATACGTACTGTCCTGGAAGAGATCTGCCCATCCTTGCACCTGGCTACTGGATTCGTCCGGGCGGGTTGGGCCATCTATTGGAGCCTCCACAAAAGCGACCATCTCTAGCTCCTCATCGTCTTGTTTTATGGCCACCACGGCCGCGTCGTGGACCGACTCCTGGCCGAGGATTGCATGCTCCACCTCCGCCA